TGTTTGGATCCGTAGAAACCCATCTTGCTTCAATAAAGTGACCCAAATAATCAACCCTCTCAGTTGCAAATTCACACTTGCTTCTTTTTGCAAACAGGTTGTTACTCCACATGACTGCAAAAACTTCCTCCAAGTGTTTCAAATGATATTTCAAGGATGTGCTATAGATAAGTATGTCATCAAAAAAAAATTAGCACAAATTTCCTTAGAAAATCCTTGAAAACTGAATTCATCAGATGCTGAAAAGTTTCTGGAGAATTTGTCAAACCAAATGGCATCACAAGATACTCATAATGCCCACTATGAGCTTTGAAAGCCGTCTTGTGAATGTCATTTAGATCCATACGCACTTGATGATAACCAGCCCTCAAATCAATCTTGGAATAAACCTTTGAACCTCCTAACTCATCCATAAGATCTTGAATCAATGGTATTGGAAATCGGTCCTTAATGGTCATACCATTGAAGTTTCTCTAGTCAACACAAAGTCTCCAAGAACCATCCTTCTTCTTAACAAGCACAATAGGAGAAGCATAAGAACTTGAACTGTTATGTATAGTTCCGGCTTCTAGCAGGCTCTGCACCATCTTGTCAATCTCGTTCTTTTGGTACAAAGTGTATCTATAAGGACGCTGATTCACCGGGTTAGACCCTTCCAATAAAGGTATACGATGATCATGTTGATCTCTAAGAGGGGGAAATGCTGTTGGTTCGGCAAAAATATCATCATAACTCTCCAACAAACTTTGTAACTAAGGACAAGAATGCCTAACTTCTGAATCCAAAGCATATATCTCTGGTTCCTCTGTTATGTCACTGTTTTTCACATAGATCATCAAAATTTGTGCTTGTCCTTCCTGCAGTCTGGTCCTTTCTGTTGACTTTACTTCTGTCAAACTGCCTTCCTTAATATCATGTAATACCACTCGCTTCTTATTAAGCTTGAACTCCATTGTTAACTGCAAGAAATCCCAAGATATAGGACCCAACGTTGATAGCCATTGAACACCTAAAACCATGTCACAGTTGCCCAATGGAATCAACATTATGTCTTGTTGAAAAGACGAGTTCGGAAAACGCCATTGGAACTGTTCTACTCTTCCATGTACTCGTAGCTTACCACCATCTGCAACTGCTACTCTTCCCATCTTTGGTGGTAGTACTGAACATCCCAGTTTTTCTGCTATAGTTGGGTCGAGGAAATTATGAGTAGACCATGTGTCAATGAGAATATACAAAGTTCTCTTCCCATGCAATCCTCTAACATTCATTGTCTGGTAACTATCAGATATACCAGCAACTGCACTCACTGATATTTAAGCAACTTCACCTTCAGTCTCATTGTACTGTTGCCCTTCTTCCGCTTCAGAAAACTCCTCATTATCCTCCACTTCCATCATGTAAAGCTGAGTCTTTTTGTGCTTAAGATAATGACCAGGAGTATACTTCTCATCACAGTAATAACAAAGTCCTTTGGCCCTTCTAGCACTCATCTCCTCCTGAGAAAGAAACGGCTTCAATCCCTCCTTAGGTTTCTCAGTACTCACAACAGTTGCCTTCTTAGCTTCCACTAGTTTCTGATGTTGGAGAACACCCTTAACAATGTTGCTATTGGACTTCCTATTAGACCAATTCTGCAATGGTGGCTTGCGTGGATGAGCTGTTTCATATAATCTCCCCAGCATCAAACACTCTCGTATAGACTTTGGTTGAAACATGCGCACATGCATCTATGTATCGTTGTTTAAGCCAGCCAAATACGCACTCACCAAATACTTCTCAGGCAACTTAACTCTGTTACGAATCAACTCAAACTTAGCATGATAATGTCCATTCCCCTCCGTTTCCTGCAACTTCTTAAGCTCAGCAATTGGATCATCCAAAATATCCTCAAAGCGTTCTTTCAAAAACAGCTTATATTCCTCCCAATCACTAATGGTATAAGCAGCTTCCTCAGATTGAACAATTGATTGGTGCCATGCTGCAGCTAGTTGATCAAAATGAATAGAAGCCAAACGAACTCTTAACTCCAAAGGAGTATTATCAATCACAAAGAACTCTTCCACTTTAAACAACCATTCCTTCACATTTTCATCACTAAACCTAGAAAATTCAACTCTTCCCAACGTCGTCATACCAGAGTAAGTTGAATGAATCGGTTGACGCTGATGACGGACCTGATTGTTACAAAGACCATCTTGTAACGGAGATAACCTATGTGTATTATCACTGTTTACTCATCCTCCACTCGTCGAAGCAAACGTCGGATTGTTGTTAACTTGTAACAGACGAATCGTCTCAAAAATATCAGCTATCTTTGTTTCGATGCTCCGATATCGCTCCTTCCACCGCCTGAATCCTTCCTCCGATTGATTCCTCTACATCGCGAGTCACCGCTTCCTTCCGTAAAGCTTGAGCTCGAGTTTCCGCCATGGATTCCGAGGTTCGATTGACGTCTGATACCTCTGATACAGTAAAACTCAAGATCAATATGGAATTCCTTAAATTTGATCCAATGTAGAATTACAAAGAATCGCTGTCACCACACCAAGAGCTTACAAGTAGAAACAGCTCAAAAGTAATGAGGAAACGAAATCACACAAACTCAGAGAAGATTCAAGAGAAGTTCATACAATTTTTCTGGATAAAAACTACAAAATGATCTTCTTCTTTCTTTTCAAAGAACTTTGTTCTTCCCGTGTAACAACTTATGTAACTTCCCGCTGATGAGCTGACACGTGTTTGGCTAATTTCGAACTTCAACGACTCACTCTCCTGCCAACGCGTGTCTAATCACTTTTCCTATAGCAATGAACAGAAGAAGAAAAAAAAAGACACAGAGATTTAACGTGGTTTGATCGACGGGCAAAGAAAATACTTTTATTGATGGGGAATTAGAGAGATCTATCTACAAGAAGATCAGATATAGTTTTCTCTACGACTGCTACCTAGATTGAGAGGAGGCACAAAAAATATATAGTGGTTTCTTGTATCCTAACAAAAACCCTAGAACTAATAAGTTTCGCAATATTAAAGCCCAAACAGATTGAAGGCATTATTTCAACAACTACTGCTATAGTTTTGGACTATTCTTGGTTAGAAACTCTTTGGGGAAACTCGAACTAATTGGGGCGGTCAGATTCAAGCAACAAGATCAGTGGGTTACCTAACCAGTTTTAATAAGAGCTCAAATATCTCTGGTTAAGATGGATCGCCAAGATAACAGAACCTACCTGCTGGAGTTAGCAGAATTCTTTGAAGAACACAAGATGTGAAAACACCCAAGCAACATTAGAACCGAGATTAAAGAAGTTGCTACACCAATACCAGCAAGTGTTTTTAACATGCCACAAGGCCTTTCTCTGGAACTAGTCCAGTAAACTAAGGTCCATACAAACATTCATTTGCGCAAAAGAATGAGATAGATAGAAGAGTTGGTGAAGGAGATGATAGCTGCTGTGATAATCAAACCAAGTATGACTGTATGAGTCCTTTTTTTAAGCCCTGTCATCTTCGTAAAGATAGAAGGATGGAGGTTTTGTGTAGACTACATGGCTCTGAACAGGGTTACAATACCTGATCGTTACCCAATTCCTGTGATTGAAGAATTATTGGATGAACTCGCACTCCATCCGCTAAGCAAAAGATAGAGTAGACGCTAGTTTTAGCTGAAAAAAAAACACTTTGTTTCTGAACTCAACGTCATTGCTTATTCATTTTGTTTTTTCTAAATGATAACGTTTGGTTTGATAAAAACGTTCTAACTTGGTTCTCAGTTTCGCATATAGACATGGAAATTTGTTCTAAAGCTAAACCTGAAATAGAAATGAATAGGGCTGGACAAATAAACCGAACCCGAAAACCCAAATCGAACCCGATCCGATAAAAATGAGTCCGAACAAATCCGAACCCGACTTAAATACCGAATAGATCTTGTTTTATGGTATTTCGGTTTATGGGTATTATCCGAACCGAACCCGAAATTAAATGGATATCCGATAAAATCCGAAACATTCAAATTTTTTAATAAGAACGTGTATCGAACATGATCTTAATTTCTAATATATATCCAAAATATTTTAAGATATTACTAAACATCTAAAAGAATTATCTATTACATCAATGTTGATGGTTAAAAGTGGCAGTTGAAACTTGAAATTTTTTTATTAAGTTTTTTTTTTATTAAATAATGTTTCTCATTTTTGTAAGAATTTGGTTTTGGTTTTATGCTTTCATTTATTTGGTTTTCTTTCTATTAGTAACCATCTTTATCTTTCATTTGATTTTGAATGATCACGTTTGATGTTCCTTTCTTATTTTTGAATCAATTTTACTTATATTTTGGTTACAAAATAGTTACACATTAGATACTTTAAATCCGAAGAACCGGTTTTACTTATGTTTTCGTTACAAAGTAGGTACAAATTAAGTATTTTAAACCAAAGAACCGATTGGGACCCGAATCCGAAAGTATAACGAGTTATACCAGTTCTTTAAAGATTTACTAACCCCGACCCAAACCCGATAGAACCCGAACCGATCCCGAACCGAACTTTCAGATAATCCGAATAGGGCTGATTTTGATAAACCCAAAGAACCGAGACCCGATTGGACCAAACCAAAACCCGTTTGGGATCCCAAATGACCAGGCCTAGAAATGAATGTTTCATCACCCACCAACCTTCAATGTTTTGTTTATTTACTTGTGGTAGTCTTTATAACATGAAGAAGTTGGAGGATAGCCAAAAATATAAAAATATATGATGACCACAACTAATTTTCAGGTTTTTATTAACGCCTGCGGATTGGGATTCATACATCTAATTAAAATTTCTCCGGAAAAGTTCAGATAAGATTCATTAAACATAATATTGGCCAACAAACACAGAAGAAAACAATACAATAATTCCTGAATTTACTTCGGCTAATCAGAAACAAGAAATTTCCCAACTTTCAGATCCCCAAACATTCAAAACCCTAATTCCATCTCCGTCGATTGATTAACCTCCGAAACCGTAGAGAGTGCGTCCTTGCCGCTCCAAGGCATAAACCACATCCATAGCGGTAACAGTCTTCCTCCTAGCATGCTCGGTGTAGGTAACAGCATCGCGGATAACATTCTCGAGGAAGATCTTGAGAACTCCTCTTGTCTCTTCGTAAATCAAACCGCTAATACGCTTGACACCACCTCGACGAGCAAGACGACGAATAGCAGGCTTGGTGATACCTTGGATGTTATCCCTAAGCACCTTCCTATGCCTCTTCGCTCCTCCTTTCCCTAATCTCTTTCCTCCTTTTCCTCTTCCTGACATCTCTCCTCACAAGAATTTAAAAAAAAAGAGTAGTCTCGCTTAGAGCTTTGTTGGTGAAAGGGATTAGGGAGATTGATTTATATATATATATATATAGAGGAAACAGATTAGAAACCGTTCGATTCAAACTTCTTTCAATGGTTAGAGATTGCGATCCGCGTGAAAGCTATCGAACAAATTTAATACGTCGATTTGTTAAAATCGACGGTGGGAGATTGCTTCCTTAATTAAGATAGGATTCTGGACAATATGAAAACGCCACGTCACCTCCGCCGAAATTAAGGTTAAAAGCCCATTTGTAATCATAGGCCCAACTATAAATGGACAAATGCTCACGTGGCCCAGCAAATAGCCTAGGCACGAAATTGTCCGCGTGTTGAGGACACCGTAAAGAGAGATCTCATGTATTTGCTGCAATAGACCTGAGCTTTTTTATGATGATTAACTGAGTCGGAGAATCAAAAGGATTGATAAAGAATGGCGTCAAATATCATAAAACCAGCGTATGCTTACACCGTTGTGTACGTTAGGGACGTCGCAAAATCCGTAGAATTCTACTCGAGAGCCTTTGGTTACAACGTTCGTCGTCTTGACGAGTCCCACAGGTTTTTTATTGTATTTTGTTACGTTTTATTTTACAAATCTATGTCTTCTCTAGTTTGTAATTATGGTTTCAAACACTTTTAAAAAAATTCTGCCCATATGTCAACCTTCCTTGATGATATATATTTTTTGTTTGGGTCACAACTTTTCGTGATACAGGTGGGGGGAGCTAGAGAGCGGGCAAAAAACGATAGCATTCACACTGCTTCACCAGCATGAGACGGATGACCTAACCGGTAAAGTTCAGTCTACGCGTTCAGACAGTGAGAGAGCACCCCTCGAAGTCTGCTTCTGTTACCCTGATGTTGATGCAGCCTTCAAGGTTACTCCATTATACTCGTTTCCATATATATGTTTATGTTGAAACTCTTCAATTTGTGTTGATATGATGGTGCATTGTGTAGAGGGCTGTGGAAAATGGTGCGGTGGCAGTGAGCGAGCCTGAGGACAAGGAATGGGGCCAAAAGGTTGGATACGTTCGAGACATTGATGGCATCGTTGTACGCATCGGAAGCCATGTTAAGTGAACACCATTACAAAAACACTAGATCACTGAACATGATCATTAACAATATATAAAATATGCATACAAATAAGACAAGATACTATGGTTTTCTTCTTCGTTTTTGGTTAATGGATACTCTAATCTAAAATCGACAGTTGAAAATAAAAAGGTTTTACAAATACAGTAAAACATCAATAAATTAATAATGTTAGGATTACACCAAAATTTTATTTTTTTATTAATTTAGAAAGATATTAATTTATAGATATACTAACTGAACCAAAAACTCAATTTAGGACTATAAAACTATATTATTTCATAAAAATATTTAGTGTATATTAATTTATCAAATATTAATTTATAGAGCGTCTACTGTAAATTTGCTGTCTAGATGTGGCAGTCTCATTTTAGTACTTTTATTTATCGTTTCACTTGGAGACTGTCTAGAGGTTTAACATTCTCGAGATGAAATTGTGCGTCTGAATTCGCATCACTTATTCTAAATTTTGGGTTTTCTCTAGCTATCAAACTTAATTTTCCACTTGTTCAACAACTCGACAATATACGTATATAACGAACAAAATAAGGCAATAAAGTACTTTTTTTTTTACTTTTTCTTTTTGTCCTTTTCATAGTCTTAATATGTTTGTGGATACCTCTTTGCATAAAAGTGTGATTGACAAATGACCACCTATCAAAGTGAAAGCTAAGGCAATAATGCAAGGGCTTATTTGTGTAATAGCCATATTTGGACGTGAAATTAAGTAGATAGCAATGATTTTGACATAATAAAGAATCTAACATTTTCATCCAAAATCATCTGGTTGTACCATTTTTCCTCACAGTTTCCCGGTAAACACATGATCTATCTAATACGTATAACAAATAACATATGGCCAGAAGTGACTGAAAACTATTATATATTAAAGAAGGATAATACACCACGTTACACGTTATTGACTTCATAGATATGCACAAAATATTCTATTCCATATCATCTAAATAGTATAAGTCTCAAATCTTAACATATTTCTCAAATGTTGATATGGCTATGCTTTCAGGGAATATGGTAATGCTTGCCCTTATGAGAACCCCAATCGTATGTGGTTCTCAAATGTTGAATTGTCTCATATGATATAATATAGAATAAAAATATGTAGAACGTCACAGATGGAATGGAAAGCGACTAGTATAGTAGTTCAGATACGATTCTTCAGAAATAGCAGAGAAATGGAATGGCACGTAACTAGTCTCTAAAACTAAGCTTTTCCCTTTTCCTTCATTTTGAGAACAAGTCTCTCTTGGGGGGGGGGGGGAGCAGAGCATGCAAAATCGAGCAATTTCAAATAGCACAGGTTCCATGGACAAGAAAATAGTATAAACCCTCTCAAAATAGTATAGAATTGCATATCTATTTTATTTACATCGTGAGTCAATAAATTTGAGGAATTGTAACCCTTGTCTGAATGAAAACCATATTACAAATAACTGTACAAAATTACTTAGAAGGAAAGAATATAATTGTTTAAATTTGTTTCATTATAAAACAAATATTTTCACACCTGAAACAAAGTTTAATACATAAGAAACTTACAAACTACAAGGAATGTAATGCACAAACATTACAGCTAATGCACAAACATTACAGGTAATGCATGACCTCCATTTTCAACAAGCTCCCCAATTGCTAAGAATTAAACATCGCCAAATGATCGTCATCTAAGGTGGTTTCGATGAGGCCGATCCACCGTAGATTCAAATAGCTATTAACATGTTTCCTACCCGTTGGCTCAAATCCTGTTACAAACAATCTTATTAGAAAGCTTAATTCATCTATGATAACCTGATAACAACGTGGACGACAGAGTAGAAATATTGATACAATAGCATAAGAAAAATTTAAATTAATCTATCTTCCCTACATTGTTATATACTATATATTCTCCAATATATTTTTAAACATATGTTTTCACTGTAAACAGTAAATGTGTGGATACAATACATACTAAGGACATAGTATGGCCTGCAAATATTAAATCCTACCCAACAGAATAAATACTAAAATCCAAGAAAACTCGTTATTACTAAATCTAAACCCTAATCACTGATCTATAAACCCAAACATAATCTATATAATATGCTGCAAATGGAACATCTACTTACTAAATCTAGTAGATAGTAAATATAATAGAAGAGTCATTTTACTCCATTTTGGTTCTTAAAAATGTTTAAATACTAAAGCGCAAGACAAACTTGTTATTACTAAATCTAAACCCTAATCACTGATCTATAAACTCAGACATAATCTATATAATGTGTTGTAAATAGCTCGTAGTTACTATACATAGTATGCATCATTTATAAATAGTATAGCATAAACATTTTACTCTATTTCTATTAGCTCTTATTGTGCTTAAATACTAAAATTAAAACAAACTACTTACTAAATTTAAACCCTAATCATTGATCTATAAACCCAAACATAATCTATATAATATGATGCAAATTTCTCAGTATGTACTAGATATATTATGGAACATCTATAAATAGAATAGAAAAGTCATTTTACTTCATTTTAGTTCTTAAAATGCTTAAATACTAAAATAATATAGTCAGTGATAATATACTTCATTTCTATTCTATCTCAAATAATATAGTCATAAGAGATCTCAGTCAGTGAGCAGAACTGGTTATGTATAAAATGGTATATAGAAATGAATCTTTATGTAAAACTAAACAAGCTTGGATAACAAATGGAAATATATAAGATATAAATATACAATTCCATGTGAAATAGAAGCTATGCTCTCTTATTCAATTCCATTCCATTTCGCATGGAATAGATTTACAACAGACCGTACTATATATAGACAACTAAGCAACTATGTAATGCAAACACTATTCCACACAACAATCAATCTGAGGATAATAAACCCGTTTATGTATCTCGGATTAAAAACCCACAATTCAAACTTAAGAAATAATAAGAATGTACATGGGAACCCTAACCGACTATGAAAACAGATCTGACAATTTAATTTCAGAAAGTTGTAGATTTAACAATTATAGTACCCTAGTTCCGAGTAAATCCAAAATAGAAGATAAAATAACATCAGATAAAGAGAAGGGAAAGTTAAAACCAAAGAACTTACGTTGGGTGTAGAGATTCAAGAAGAATCGAGTGTGAGAATTGGAATTGACACGGATTGTTGAGCGGCGCCGCTGCGGAGTTACCACCATCGATTGTGAGTCGATTTCAGCACTGGAGTAGAAGCCGAAGTTGATAAGCACGAAGGATACATGAAATTTGAGGGGAAGGAGGTGAGACGACGAGATTACTGCATTCTCTGAGACCTTTCAATTTTGAGGAAGGAATGAAGATAAGTGAAAAGAAAGATGTGGAGGACAATTACACACGATTTGCAACTTTACATCTAATGATTATTTTTAATTTTTTTTTCTGCAGGTTTCACCGGTTGAAGCAAGGGACAAAACTGTATTAATATAGAAAACTAACGGTGTGAGTGGATCTGTTAGGGTTTTTGGCTAGTTTGCCAATTAACTTTTTTTCTCTTGCTATATAGCCCAATTTCCCATAATGCAATCCGTATTTTGGTCTTTGAACCCAAAATCAATATGAGACTTAGTTATCCGCTGCAAATAATATTGTAATCACCCGGGACCAGGAGAAAGGTATCCCGTATCATTTTATTGTTTGCCGGCTAAACATTTTAAAAATTGTTAGATATATCAATTAAACATACAAAAATATCTTTTTATGAGATTTGAATTTCTAACACAAAAGTAGCATACATTTCTTTCGACGATCGAACAAACTTTAAACATATACTAATCTTGGGTAGAAAGCAATATTTTCTATAGTATAAGTTTCACGACTGTCTGTAAGATCACAAATAATAAGAATATGCTCTCTTATTAATCTTAAAGAAATATTCTCTCAACCTTAAGTTATCTCTCTCACAATTGTAAAACTCACACTTGGTTGCAACATGCCTACAACTCTCTTTTATACAAGATTTAGATAACTCTTAATCTTAGTAATATCTTTTAGATAACTCCTAAAATTCTTTTAGATAATTCCTAATCTCTCTTAGTAACCATATCTCAGTGTGATTAGGATAAGCTTGATCTCCAAGCTATTTCAAGCTTACTCCAACACTCTCCCCCTTAAGCTTGAACTCATTTCTTGATAAGTCTTCAATACCAAGTATACCGATCCTCATCTCCTTGAATCTGATTCTTGCTAGTGGCTTTGTTAAGGTGTATGCTCGTTGTTGACTTCCTGCTACATGATGAACTTCGATCAAATTGTTGTCCACACACTCCCTTATGAAATGATACCTTCTGTGAATGTGTTTACTTCGGCCATGAAACACATGATTCCTACTAAGAGCTATAGCCGACTTATTCTCGCCTGGTACACCAACTATCTCACTAAAGAGATCCTGAAGTCAAATAGCTTGTTTTGCTGCCTCAGTTCCAGCCATGAATTCTGCCTCGCAAGATGACAGAGCCATTGTTTCTTGCTTCTGTGAACACCAAGTGATGGATGATTCAAAGAAGTAGAAAACATGCTTAGTCGTGCTTCTCCCATCGTCTTCATCCACTTTATGACTTGCATCACTGTAACCAGTCAACTTTTCATATGTTCCTCTTCTGTAAACCAGACCATAAGATGGCGTACTTGGCTCTGCCATATACCTGCTCAGCACACCAACTGAATATGAGATATCAGGTCTGGTGTGAAGAAGGTATCTGAGACACCCTATGTTTCTTTTGTACTCCTTTTCATCAACTCTTTGCTCATCACAAGCTTTCGACAGTTTGAGACTCGGATCCATTGGCACATGAACAATGTTGCAATCTTGCATCCTTGTTTCCTCCAATATCTTCTTTGCGTATCGCTCTTGTTTCAGAGTAATGCCTTTGTCATGTTGGTATACCTCAATACCCAAATAGTATGTGAGTTTCCCCAAATCACTCATCTCAAACTGTGCATAC